ATTTTCAGTTCAATTGCTGACATCAGGAACAGAATTTTCCGAAAAAAAAGAGCCCGATAGGACTCCCAGCCCTGAATCCCCAGACCCTAAACTTTAAACCCAAGCCCTAAACCCTAAATCCTAAATTCCTGATCCCCAAACCTTAAACCCTAAAATCTAAACTCTAAATCCTAAATCCAAATCCCCAAACCTTAAACCCTAAACCTTAAACCTCAAGCTGTGAAAGTCATAAGCCCCCACGCCTAAATCTACGCCCCGAAACTCAGGCCTTGAGCCTAGAAACCTGAACCCTAACTCCAAAAGAATCCTAAGATCCCAGGGTTTGGGGTGTAGGGTTTAGGGTTTGAGGGCTTTCAGAAGTCGAAGCTCTAAAGCCTGCATGTTTTTCCTGCAGCGGAGAGGTTTGGGGCCCAAACATCATTGGGATGCTGCTGCAGCTTGGACTTTCGAAGGGCTTGGGATTTAAGGTTAATGAGTCTAAGGCTCCAAGTACCCCAAAAACGGTGGATACTAAACATCCAACATGACCCTAAGTACACTATACCCCGGAAATCATGGTACTATACTTTCGTAAGGTCATACAGGATTGTTAATATCAACAGTATCAGTTGGGTCAGATACTGAAACCATTCAGATTATAGTATTTGAGACCTTATAGGAACCCACTTCTTCAGTACCTGGACCCTCTGAATAAAGGGATTTGAGTTTCAGAGTTTAGGGGTTGCAGAGAAGTGCTTGAAATGTAGGATGTTGAGTGTAGGGTGTGGGGCGGAAGGTTCCGAGATGTGGGGTTTGTTTAATGGTCACCGTGCTCCGCTGCTATGGCATCATCCCCGTTTTGATTCTCCTCTCCGCCGCTGTCACCGCTCCTTTCCCGACTGGCCCAAAACCCCAAAACCCTGAACTTCTTCAGACATGAACACATCCCAGGAGCAACCTTGAATAACGCCGTTTGGTGATGCTTCATTCTCAGGATTTAATTTTACTTCCCAAGTGGCTCCTAAACCCTAAGCCCTAAGTAAACCACAAAGCCGTAGCCCCCTGTGAGCTTTGGGCTTTTCAGGGTACACGCTTGAGCAAGTAGGGCCAGCTTGTTTTTTGGGGATGATGGCTTTCAATACTCGAGGCTAGAACCCTAAACCCTAAGCCACCTAAACCCTAAACCACGTAAACCTTAAACCCCAAAATATTTCAGTCCTTATAATTGGGACCCCCAAAATGGTACATCTAATTTTGGGAAACCTCCCAATTATGACTTCTAGCAGGCCTGTCAGGCTCCAGGTACTCAAGTATTGGGGCGGTGTAGGGTTTAGGGTTTCAGGTGCCCAAAACCATCTAGATTGTAGTAATTATCTGGGGCCTGAATCCCCATTAGAGTACTTGGACCCTCTAGGAGAGGGATGGTGCTCAAAGTTGTGGTCTATCTTGAGGCTCCAGAACACAAGGTGAACGGAGGAAGGTCCTCGCGCCCTGATCCCCATATAGCAGGATTTAGTGGGTTGCTGTTGATGAACTGATATTTATTTACTAAAGGAAGGAAATACGCATACTTTAGTACCTTGACTTAAGTTCCGTAGCCGCAACGTAGCTTATGATGAGCAGTTGCTGTTCACATTACAGTCTCCACGCCGCGCAATGCAACATTAAACGCCCTTTTGGTTATGCAGGAAGTAGGTCTATGTGGTAGTTTCCGTAAAATAGGGGACCCCAATATAGACCTCAATAAATTACGACCTTCATCATAGGGCCCCAGAGACCCCGAATTCTAAAAAAAACCCATGTCTCGTTGCCGTCTGAATTGCTGGCCTTCTGCGCCCGAGGTCCTTGGTGCAGCTGGCTCTCATCTACAAGTACCCGGCACGGGTGGAGCCTTGCAAGACAATCCCAAACCCTAAATACCTTAAATCGGGACGGCCAAACCTTTAAGGCTTTCTCGGAGGGACCCTAGCATACTCGTACCTGGACCCCAGAAGTAGCTAAATAATAGCCACAAACCTTTAAACATAGTACAAAGGGCCAGTATTCTACATACTGCTAGGGGGCTTGGGTAATGAGAGCTTATAGGACACCGCCTCCCAACGGCTCCCATGGACTATTTTGAGACTACCGTGGGGTTCTCGTATGTTGTCCTTCTCCCGGTCATTTCGAGTTTGAGGCCTCTAGGTTGAGTTTAGGCTGTACCTGGTCTACCTAGACCTTCTTACTCTACCCCTTTTTCGGGGTACCTTTTATGGGGGTATATACAGGAGATGCTAGACAGAAAGTTAGGTATCCGAAGAAGGCGGTAGGGGAAAGGCGTCTAGGCATGTCTTGGGGCCAGCGGCTAGCAACCTGGTTTTGGGTGTTCGGGTCGAGGACTTGGGGATAGGGTCTAGTTATGATGCCCATTATGGTGTTTGTGTTCAATTGGAGCCCCCGTGAAACGCTAATACAGCTATAACGACCCAATAACATAATCCAAATTGTATTTGGGACCTAAAGCCCTCATTCTTGGGTACTTGGACCCTCAGGGAAATTAAGGTCATACCATTTCAATGCCGGGGTGATCAGGTGAATCAGTGCTCGAGGACCTTCCACCTTCCTCCGTTCACCTTATGTTCTGGAGCCTCAACCCTAAACCCTAAACCGGAGCCTCAAGATAGACCATAACTTTGAGCACCATCCCTCTCCTAGAGGGTCCAAGTGCTCTAGTGGAGATATCAGGTCCCAGATAATTACTATAGTCTAAACGGTTTCGAGTGCCTAAAACCCTAAATCCTAAAACCCTAAATCCTAAAACCCTAAATCCTAAAACCCTAAATCCTAAAACCCTAAAGCCTAAAACCCTAAACCCTAAAACCCTAAATCCTAAAACCCTAAACCCTACACCACCCCCAGAGTACCTGGAGCCCTGATGTCTGCTTTAAATCATAATTGGTGGGGTTTCCCAAAATTAGATGTACCATTTTGGGGGCCGCAAGAATGAGGAGTATAGTATTTTGGGGGTCTATTTTGGGCCCCCCCCTATTTTGGGAAATTACCAAACATTTTAGACCATTCTTAGGATTTCAGGTCCCAAATATCAGTCAGATTGTGGTATTTGGGACCTGAAGCCCTAATGTACTTGAACCCTGAGGGTAATGAGCTGAACCAAACCCTAGTAACCCTTAGGGATATATACTCGACCAAAGTTCCAGGGATTCAACAAAGGGGGCAGGAGCGCCGTATTCAGCTTAAAACTCATACCCGGTGCCTCAGCCGCATACACATCACTCACAGTCCTAAGGCTTAGGGCATTGGGTTTAGGGCTTAGGGTTTAAAGTTTAGGGCTTACCTGGATTGCTTTGTGGCCCCTTTTTTTTGGACGTCCCATTTTGGGGTGGCTGATTTAGACTTGATACCATTTTTGGAGGTGGTTATTCTATATGGTTGAGAAATAGACCTGTCATTTTGGTATAACCTCCTAAATTGAGAATCAGACCTCTGGCATAGGCATAAACACGAAATGGACCTCTCACATCAGGCCTCTGGGCTCAGCCAGCGCATGAGAGTATACAGTCCCCCTTAAGTAGATAGAATATGGCTTTGGGTATATTATAGTAAGATCCATGCATATGCCTCGTATTCTATAGTAAGATCCATATGCCCCGTATTCTATCTACTTTAGGAGGACTATATACAATCCAAGGAAATTCCAGGCCCTAATGATCCATAGAGCTTTCATCAGAACAAGGCAGATTGGAATTCCCACATCCCAGAATCCTGGAAGAACCACCCAACAGATCCTCGAAGAACCACCCATCAGCTCAACATAAGACAGAGAAACCATGGTGCGCCTGCGATGCTGATCTTCTTTGAGCTGGTCGGGCAAGTATCGCTGCTCAAATGAATTATCAGGGCTTTAGAGGCATGGCTGGCGGATACTTTGAGAACTTACTTCAATCATACTTGAATGCTCGCGCCCCGTGGTGCAGAAAACATTCAATCCTGCAAGGGATGTGAAGGTTGCAAGGCAATTCAAGAATGATCAGCATGCTACCTTTCTTTGACTAAAGTTGTGTTGCTTCACACCCCAAACTCTTTGTGATACTTGATAAGCATTCTTTGAACAGTCCGTTCACTGACTGTTCTGCCATTAACGCGTCTGCTGACGCGTGCCGTGCGCCCTACGAAATCCTCACTAAGCTCGCATAAAAAAATTGAAGGAGATAAAACAACTGGGGCCTGCCTACTCACAGCACTTTCCAGCTTCAGAGGCACATGCTTCAGCATGTGGATGCTGGGTTCAAGATGAAAAACACATTCCCCACGGCGATAAAACTCCCGTGCTAGGAAGTTGTAAGCTGCGCAGAACAAATTGATACTGTTGGCTGCGTCCAGGGCTTTGGTCGGATCCAACCAAACACCTCCATGATGAATGATATGGAAGAAATGCAGCAACGCCCGGCTGCAATCCGCAACAGCCCTGAAAACCCCTCCATGTGTAGCATCATCCAGGAATGTTTTGCCAGAACGGCCAGACCCATCAGGCATGACAGCACCTCCATAAACAAGTTTCAGCAGCCACCGCAGCAGCATCAATGAATCTGCTGCTTTCCAGCCTGAGCTAATTTGAGGCAATACACGTGTAGAATAATTCTTTGATAAACCTTACATATATGCTTACCCACATGGCCCTATAGCCCTATACTAAAAATCATCCTCTTAACAACGACCGTAAAATGAGGAAATGCATTGTAAGCAAAATCAAGTATCCACCATAGGGATAGGATGATCGCCGCGGCCAGTGGAGGGAGTCTTTGGTAAACTGTTTGAGGTTCGGGGTTTGTTTGATCTCGCATTTGCAACAGTATACAAAGTCCAGGTGAGAATTTTCCAGGAGAGCTGCAATACTGGAGGCGCTTCCATTGAACACATCCAAGTCCCCAAAGGCGATAATGACCGAAGCAATGAAATGCCGAGCGATTCCCAGTTTCACCAAATGCATACAGTCCGATCTGAATGCTTTCTCAGGCGCTTCATTACTGAAGGGTACTGGCAAGATGCATGATGGTTTCGTAGCTTTCCAAGGTCTTTGCAGGTAGCACGTACTTCGCCAACTCGCCTCGGAAGAAAGATCCTCCCATGGATGCTCAGGCTGACCCCCCAAACAATGGTGACATACACCAGCTGGCCCCAATAGATGATTGAAAGACCTGGTAAACTGCCCGACTTTACTCAGTGCAGGGGCATCGCCCTTTAGTCCAATGAAGATAGGAAACCATCGTTTGCCATCCTCACACTCAAAGCCAACTGTACAGATGCCTGCCAAATCTTGGACAACCTCATCCAGCACCTTATACCAATTTTGTTTCAGCTTGGCTTTGTATGCAGAATGCGGCAGGACATACAGAAGCAAACGTGAAGTCAGGGAGGATCCTGCGCCAGTGTGCCGTTGAATGCTCCACAGAAGCCGTCGATCATAACGGCCATCAGTTACTTTCGTTTTTTTCTGAAACGCCCGAAAAGAACTGATATTAAACACTGTCTCTAGACTAACAACTTGGATAGGCGCCTTGCGAAGCCCTCGCCCTTCGTCAGCGAACATGCAATACGGTATGCATCTACACAGGTCGCCTGCGTGCTCACTAAAGACTACATGATCCGGGTCTTCAAATTTGTATGCTTGCCAGAACGATTCCAGCAAATCTCCAACTGCTGGATGATTGCGGGGAAAGCCTCCCAGCAAAATCTCAGCCTTTTTGCAAATCAAGTATTCAAACCAGGTCGAAGGCTTTACCATAGGGCACCACAGCTCCCCTCTGCTAAAGTAATAGATGTCGAGTGGCAAGGCCAGCCCCCAATCGCGAATCAATTTGTGAAGTGCTTCTTCTGCATGGGCCGGGTCTTTCAAGGCCATCTCTCGAATACCAGGCATGAGCAGTGGCTGCTCTTTCTCAATGGTTTTTGCAAATCGGATGATACCAGCTCCCGGCTCCTTAGATGACCCGTGAAATCCTTCAAAACACATATTCGTGCACGCGTGCCATTCTGGCAAGGGGTCATGCAGAATTTTGTAAAATTACTTTGGAAAGAAATCATGTTTTCACGTGTCATCCTGTCCAGGGGCCATGCATAGCATGCTTGGTCTATAGGAGTATGTACACTCATGTCATTAAACCAAGAGGCGCCATTCCCCAAAGACTCAACCAGCTTTCTTGCAGTAGGTCCCGGTAGTTCACCTGCGAAGGGAATCTGATTGGAACAGCAGTATGCGTGACAGGCAACATGTTGAAGCCATTACATCAATCATAGTATGTTGATTCAGCCCCGTCCCTGTTTCTCCCCCACGCAAGCTGATCGCAAGCTAGAGCAAGCTGGGTCGGAATCCTTTGCCAAATGCATGCAGCAGCTAAGGCTACTGAACATGCTGCGGCAGCTGCGCGCTGCGAAATGGAAGGCCTGCTCTCCCACAAAACATGTGTTCCCCATCTGCACTGCTTAACTCGCTAGCAGTGACATTCATGTTGGAGTTGCTTGGTTCATACAGTGCAGAAACACACCAAGTTGGGGAGCAGCTGCTGTCAAGCACACTTGCACTACTGCGATTTTTTACCCGTTTTACGGGTAGCTGGCGCAGAAGCCTCCTTTGCAACAGGTTTGCTCTTTGGCTTCACCGGCTTCTCTCCTGGGGTGGCTCGCCGCTTCGGCATAGCAGCTTTGGCACGGTTCTCCAGGGTCATGCACTCCAGAGCCCTGGGCAAACAGCATGAGACTATACATGGAGGGGTTGTGAGGGCTTAGTGTTGGGAATTGATTCAGGGTTCCAAGACGTTGGTTCGATCTAAGCAGTGCCAAGGGGCGTACGCTTCGCCTTTTTGTAAAGCCCAGTCAGCTTCTCCAGCCTGGGCAAACATGCAACAAATAATCCTTCATTAGTAGCTTCTTAGAAACACTAATAGTAGTGTAGTAGTAGTAGTAGTAGTATAGTAGTAGTAGTAATAGTATTAGGAGTAGTAGTATAGTGGTAGTAGTAGAAGTAGTAGTAGTAGTAGTAGTAGCAGTAGCAGTAGCAGTAGCAGTAGCAGTGGCGGTAATGCATGGTAGTGGTAGTAGTAATAGTAGTAATAGTAGCAGAATAGTAGTAGTAGTAGTAGTAGTCGTGGTGGTGGTGGTAGTAGTAATAGTAGTAGTATGTAGTGTGTACAGTCTATATAGTCATGGTGGTAGTGGAGGGTTAGCAGGAAGGGTGGCCGCGCATGGGTGTATGAGGCTTGGGGGCATATATGAGGTTGAGGGCTCAATCTTCCCTAGTTTTCTTGTGTAAAGAATATCAAGGATCATCAAGCCTTGAAATGCAAATTGCCAAAAACAGGAGACTACAGCCATCTTGAAGCTATACGTATATAGACCCTCAACCCCGCAAAGTAGAAAGCCTTGAGCTATATGGAGCCTTTCATCTTGAATTCTTACGCCCCCACTGCAAATTATAACAATATATCACCTGAAATTGCAACCCTGCAAGAAGCCCCAGCTCCTCAACCCAGAAATCTTTAGAACTTGTATACACATCCAGATCAGTTGAGTGGCAGGTTTGAGCTGAAACCTTCCACGCTGCCCTCGCAATACACACTATCAATTTGTTCCTGGCAATCATTGCATCCGGTGATGCAGGTGTTCATCTTCTCAATCAACCTGGGCACGGCATAGGTTTAGGGGGATTTGATAAGGGTTGTCTCCAGTTTCTTTGGGGACCTACATGAGCCTTTCTTGTGGGATCATAAGGTGCAGGGAGAGGGATGCAACAAGATGTGTCGAGAGAGAGAGAGAGAGAGAGAGAGAGAGAGAGGAGGGAGAGGGTGTAAGATTCACTTCAGCAGCTTGGCACAGAGCATCATGCCCGGGGAATGAGAAAAGTGAGTCTGCGCATGCAACGGTAGGAAAATGAGGCTATGGCTTCTTCACATTCTCTGACCGCTCTGCTACCGGAATAGTAGTCAGCTTGCCCACAATCTCTGCCGTTTTGGTAGATCGTGTACTCAAGGCCTTTGTGAACAGCTGGGCCATGTCCTGGGGCTTTTTGCCTTCAAGGACTGGCAAACCCAACTCCTGCTCGATCGATGCTGCCACACTTCCTCAGATCACGGCTGCAGTGTATGAGAGTTCAACCTACTCAGCTCGAATGTGTCTGAGGCTTGCTTGAAATTTGTTGAGTCTCCACCTGCAGCTTGCTCCCCGACAGAATCAAAGTCAGCGAAAGCAAACTTTGGTTCCGAACCAAGTGTGACCTCATTACCTTCCGCAGCAGCCTGTTGCTCATAACTCACCGTCTCGGACTGGCGCAGGAGCTGCGACTGATTCATGCTTGCAGAAATCTTGCGCTCGACCCAGTATTTCAAAGGCTTGTTCTTGTTGTACGTGTCAGCCTAGGCATTTCATAAACTGTTTGTGTCTGTAGTGCTGCACTGCCTCAGTCAAAGAATGATTTATGTGCAGCTAGGGGACTCGGCGAAACGAGGCAGGGTTGCGGTCACAGAAGGCCACAATATCTTTGATGTCGGCCCTCATGGTTATACTGCTCAGAGAAAAAGTACAGAATACAGGAGAAACAAAGAGTGAGAGTGAGACATAGAGAGAAAGAGAGAGCGAGAGAGAGAGAGAGAGATATATATATAGAGCGACAGAGAAAGAGAGAGCAAGAGACAGGAAAATAGAGAGAGGTTTGGGAATAGCAGCTGCAATGAATAGTGTGGAGTTCCATGACAGCAGGTGTAATATTTGAAGGCAAGATACTCAGTCAAGTGAAGGTCATCCCGCATTTCCTGAATGGTATAAAAATCGCCTGTGATGTCCAGGGAGATCTTTTTCTCACGTTCCGAGAGAATAGTCACCTCCTTGAGGAACATCTCCTAGAGGGGCATCCTATACTGGGTTCTATATAGTGGGGCATCCCGTGATGGGTTCTAATACAAGCAAAGTTGCAAAACCGCCAGAGCGCACAGGCCCAAACACTATACACAAGCCTCACAAATACTACGAAGCCTATATAAGCCCTCTACAAGCTCTGTATATAAACCTAAATGGAACCCCTATACGCATGGGCTCTATAGGGATTATGTAACCCTCTAGACAAGGCAATTTGTAAATCTAGTGTAGACCTCTTCTCTATGGGCATGCGCAAGCCAAACAAATGCTATGAAGCCTTTGTAAACCCTCTTTTAGCTTTGTATAAACCCAATATAACACCCCTATATATGAATACCTATATATATATATATATATAGATGGGCTATGGAAGCTATAACCCTCTTTCCACAACTAAGCTCTATAACAAGCTAACATGGACCTCCTAAATATAGGCATATACATATATTCCTCTAGTCTACACAAACCCACAAAACCTTTCAAATGCCAGAAGAAACCCCACGAACCATAAAAGTTCTTTGAGCCCTGTTTAAACTCAAGAACCAATCATAATTTTAATCCCTGAAAGTATACATGTAAATAGGCTTTTTAGGCTCGTAATTGTGAACAACTACGTAGAAGTCCTTGTTGAATCCACTCTTGACCAGGAGTTTGAGAAGCCCCTCCCTTTCGCTTCCCCCTGCTGCATACTTCTTGTGAACCTCTTCCGGCACCGTTAAGGTGCCATTCGCTCGCCGGCGGCAGAGTCTTCTCAAGCGCTGTCGAGCGGCTGGGGTGGCCACCATGTCTTCCTCATCACTGGGACACTTGGCCTTGTCAGCCACCTTTTGCGGAGTCTTGGACTCCAGTCTCAAACTTGCAACCTCTGATCGCGTTTCCGCAAGCTGAGCCTGTAGCTTCTCAATCAAACGAGCTTGCTGAAGAATGACATTCTCCAGGTTTGATGAAGAGGGTGCATCGGATGGGTTCGTAGTCGTAGGCGATGTGGACTGTGGCAAATCAAAGGTTGAGGCATTGTGCAGTGCATGGTTGGGCCAGGGCCAGGGTAGTATGTATACTGCTAGGGGAGAAATTAACAAAGGAACTCAATACATGGGCCTCTGGCATAGAGCTTGAGGAGTAAGGGTCATCAGCAGCAGCAATATGAGGGGAAGGGGTATCCTCCATGATCGTGGCCGGGGTGGCAACAGTAGCCTTGTTCTGCTTTGCAAGGGGAGTGTGCACAACTTGGTGGGTTGCCGCAAACTGGTTGCTTGAAGCTGCAGCTTCCTTGGAAGGGGTCTCATTCAGCCTGCGCGGGCACAAGGGCGACATACCAGTTTTCATTGGAGACATGTCTGGGCTTACCTTTCCTGGCGAGGGCATCCCAGCTCCCGTCCCAAACTGAGACTGCAAAGCCAGCATCAACACATCATCATTTCCCAACAGCCTATCCTCGCACTGGGCCAACTGAGAGGCTTCTGGCGCCGGGCAATGGGCAACGGACGCTGGCTTCAGCGCATCATCTGGGCAGTGTCGCTTCTTGGCTGGTCGCGGGGTTGGGGTGAGCTTTCCTACAGGTGTACTCATCTCCGCACGCTTAGCATTGCCACCCTCATTCTCTTCATCAAGGGCTGCATGCACTTCTGCTTCCAGCTTAGCCTCCAAGGCCTTCACAGAATGTTAATTGGATCCACAAAGCCTTTCACAAAAGGGAATCTTGGCAGGGTTTTGTTGTCTGGTTCAGGGTTCATGGAATGGTCGTTTGCAAATGTTTTTGTGGGAGAAGTATGAATGCACTTAATTAGGAAGTCTATAGACACAGTAACCCATCCCAAATCTTTTCATAAATCAACAGAAACCGCGGAAGCCCACCCAGGCATGTTACACAGGCCTGAATATCTCGATCAATCAGCTCCTCTTTGATTTGTTGCTTGTCCACTAGGTCAAGACCCTCTATCAGAGTGCCCGAGCTGAAGGCCCGCGATTCAAGATGCCTTGCTGGCGCTGGTGCGGACATCGTAATGCCTTGCGAGGGCTGGGTGGGCCACGCAGGCTGCAAATACCAATGACAGCAGTGTACTAGCACTGTGGAGCCAAATGATTTGGACCCTATCATAATGTCATGGTAGATGCTGCCGCTGCCTAATCAGGGCTCACCACAATCAGTCAAAGGAGTGCAGCTGTCACAAAAGGACACTTGTTTTAGGACATGTGCAATGTCCGTAATCTTAGGCATGTCTTCGCGGAAACATGCTGGACAGGGCCTGGAACGCACACCTTCTCTTAGCTAAATTTCCTCCGTAGCCATATATACACACATGCCCAGAGGCCTGTCCAGCTCGGCTGCAAGCATTGAATTGTACATGACAATTACAAATTATGCCACTCGTTGCTAGAACATCACCAAGGAATCTTGTTAGCTTACTTGAAAAAATATCCCCAAGAGACACTGCTAGAATGAAGGGTATTGCCAGGCTTATCGAAAGCAATTCTCCCCATTGTTTTCTAGGTTTTCCTTGGTGGGATAAGGCAACGGTGGGCTACATACACAAAATATGGGCCAGCCCCAGTCAAATCCACTCCCTCTCCACCCCGCTGAATGTTCATGTTTCCGGGGGTTGATTGAAATCGACGAATGAGTGCCGCCTCTACAAACCCAACGCTCACTGGATCAGGAAGTATCACCAACACCTTCAGCTGCTGCCACTTCTGGCGAGAATCTTGGCTATAGCCCTTCAGCCACCGTGCCACAGGATTGCAGGTAATGCCAACTTTGAACACAGCTGGGTATTTGCTGGAGAGTGAGCTGATCGCCAGCTCGCAATGGTCTAAGATTGCAGAGGGTATGGAAGCATCAGTAACATCAAATGCCACATGGTTTCCTGCAAAACCAGTTCTTTCCAGATCAGGCACAACTTCCATCGCCATTCTTGGGAGGGTACTTATGCAATCTGGCACCATAGAAAGCCAGTACCAAGGATCAACCTGTTGCTTGCGAGCCATGTGGGGCTTCTTCACGGTAAGTTCAGGTAGCGGTACAACAGGTAGGGAAGCCACTTTCAAGCGGATGTGGAGATCACTGTTCTGGTTGCGAAGCATTTCAATCTCTTTCTCTAGGTTCTTAATCTTGGCTTCACAGCAACAGGCAGATGGCCTGGAAGCAAGCCAATCTTCATGGCTAAGCTCCTCATCGGTATCCCAAAGAACGGACCCAAGACTCCGCAAGCGCTTTCTATGGCCATGGTGTGCAAACCCTTCCTGAGATCCCATCGTAGTGCCCTGAATAGAAACTGAGTCTTCATTAATAGATTGAAGCCAGACCCTGTAGATTTTCCAAGGGATTCACCTAAATTTGAATGTCAAGGGGCCCATAGGTGAGGCTAGATGTAGATTAAGGGATGGACATAGACAAGTGTTTGGACTTGGGCTTTCTAGGGAGCTTTATCAGGTTCTACAGTTGTTATAAGTATATATAAGCATATATATATATATGTACACATATATGATAAATTCACCCTGGGGTACTTATGTACACAAGTCTTGAGGTTGCTAGGAATTCTTTAGCCCAATAGAACACTCATAACACATGGCCTATATGAATACAGACAATAGGGGCAGTATGGGTCAGAAGGGTTCAGCAGGTTGCACAAGTTCTACAGAGCCAGGCTGGCTGCAGAGGGATCTGAGCAGGTTTTCAGATGTCTACTTGTGCATCCATAGGCATGTGCAGGGCGTATATGCATGCGCGCGCGCATGCGCAAAGCATTTGGAAGTGCACATATGGATCTGATCGCATGCAGGGGTGCACCAGTGCAAACGGGTGTGTGCAGGGGGGACCGCGGGCACGAGCTGGCGCGCACTCGTCTGTATGGTTGCGAACGGATGCCCGCCGGCGTGTACGGGGTACTCGGCCGTGTACGGCCATGTACGGCCGTGTACGGGGTACATTGTGTACGCTTTTTTTCGCCGTTTTGACGGGGTTTTTCGCCGTTTGTACGGGTTCGGGGGTGTACGGGTGAGTACGGCTGTGGACGGCTGTGGACGGCTGTGTACGGCTGTGTACGGCTGTGGACGGCTGTGGACGGCTGTGGACGGCTGTGGACGGCTGCGTACCTCTGCGCGCGATTGTGTGCGTGCTTGTGTACGGATTTAAGCTTACTCATCTCCCATTCAAGCAACTGTTGCCAATATATGCTAACATAGGATTACACCTTTATAGAAGTTCACCATGATGATGCCAAGTACACCAGCACTTCCGGGCTGCACACCATGATCCTCTACGAATTAAAAAGACTTGGGTAGAACATCACGCCACTGCTGGCTGGGAATAACCAACAGCTTGCTCCCCCGGGCATATGACACTGCCTCATACAGCATAGCATCCTCCCACGTGTCATCGAAGGCCATGGTGCGGAAGGCATCGAGGATATCGAGGTCAGAAGTATCCTGGGCTCAGATGGGCGCAGCGTTGGGTTTGCCTGGGGGTTTGTCTTACTCTATAGATTTAAGGGGAGACTTT